GACGATATGTATATATATACATATAGATATATACTGACAACGTGACGTCATGGCGAAATAATCCTCATCGTGAAATCAAATTCGCCGGCATCGCATGGTCTCTCATTCCCTGCGAAAGAAAGACGAGGACGCGCCATCGAAGAGTGAGAAATTCATTTTTATTCATCGGACGATAAGTATCTGGAGATGATAATTTTAAAATTTACATAATGTGAAAGATAATCAAGACAAAATACATGGCTTCAATTAATTCAACAATAAATAAAATTGTAGTTAATAATGATAAATAAATAGAATCGCATGAATATCTGACATTTATATCTGCATTTTTTTTGAAAAAAATGTGAATGAAAATTAGAATCGCTTTGAAATATTTCGATTTAAACAGAAACTTGAAAAGGCTGACATCAAGATGCGGTTACAGACAAGAATTAAAAGTATATGTACCGGGCGACACGCGGCGAGTCATTCGAGATCAAGGTCGTCAGGACCGCAAAGTTTCGCGTGGTTTTGAGTAAAAACTCAATATTTAAATACGGAGGAAAAGAATTAAGAAGAAAGAAGTTTGCAAAGAGGTATTCGTTGAAAAGAATTGCGTCGCCTCGAAGATTTAGACTTTATCTTCGAAACCTGGTAACAAGCAAAGAACATACAAGGACATATTCAAAATCAGATCTATTGAAAACTATATTACACAAATGACAAGAGCATTATTCCACTTGACAATTCATGAATCTCATTTCACCGGGATCGAATTCCGGGAAGGTTAATTGCGCATTATGCGGAGAGTGCGGTATTAAGGATGACCTCAGACTTTACGAGTTGTACCAAATACTATATGCCATGTATTGATGTACAATGAAAGTAATGATTTTCAATTAAAATAGTATTCGATTAATTATCGATAAAGTAATTACCGATTTAATATATACAATTAATAATCACATAGTAAATTGTCTTCTCAGACATAATTTTAAGTTTCGTTTCTTCTAATATAATTTATTTTATATTTTAAGATAGTTTTAAACAAAAAATATATCTCATTTATTATATAAAGTATTTAAATTATAAATGTTATTAAAGTATTAAATAATAGTATAAAAGTATGTAATAGTATTAAATAATAGTATAAAAGTATTAAATAATAGTATAATTAAATGTCTAATTTTAAAATAAAAATACATATATTTTTTTAAAATTAAAATATTCGTAATTTGAAAGAATCAAAAATATCACGTATTAATATAAAATATGATGAGAAATATTGTGCAATAAAATATAAAAAAATATATTTAAATATATTAAAAATGAATATGTATATCTATTTTCACAATCAAATATTGAATTACTATTAATCAATTTAATCAATGAATTAAAAATCATTCATGATGCTAATTTTGGTAAAAAAAATTCAATTTTATTTTATATAATATCATTTTATATAATATATAATATGATATTTATACAATTTCTCTCATTTTATATAATATATAATTATAGAAATATAATTTATGAAAGGAATAGAGGAAAAAAATACTGTGCTAAAATTATATAATTAAATCAGACGCAGTCTCTATAATTCTTGCATTCATATTTTTAGCAAAAATAATAAATCAATGCTCTATGCTCTATTATGTAATTTAATTTTAAACCGTGCATTAAAAAATGTAGTTGCCTTAAACCGTCATTTTCGTCTCTCTCGTTTACTCATATGTCTTTTTAGGAAAAATAAAACGTAAAATTTCGAATAATTGCATAAATTGATCGAGATTGTATTCGACATAATAATTAATAAATTGATAATTAATAAATTAATAATTAATAAATTGATCGAGATTGTGTTGTTCAATATAATAAAGATGTTCAATGTACATATATCAAGGTATATCGTAAGATTAATAGGATTAAGATAGAATAATAGGATTAAAAATAAATCATATGATTATGAAAAGTTACCTTGCTCCGCGCGCATCCGAAATCATAGAGATAATAGGCTTATGATATTTGATTCTGCCTGATCTCGGCTTCTTTGTGGATAAACATCCATATACGGTCAAGAAACAGTTACACTTTTGTACCGCATAGTACAGTCACGAAACATTCTTGTTACCGGAAATAATAATTACTACAACGGGAGACTACGATCGCACAAATAAACGCGAAGCGGGAGAGGATTTTTTTCACGTGGTTCTGCTATAATTGACTAAATAGAAGTTTGCAAATAAATGACCAATTAGAGAGTATGAAGAATATTGCATCATCTGACAAACGTATGTGTCGCAAAATATGTAATATCTTTCATGACAATTATTAAACTTGTTACATAAACTCGTCATAAATATTATAAACTTTTTGTTCTTATAAAAAATCGACGAGAAAATCGAAAATTCTCTCTTTATAAGAATTTTCTCTTACGTAAACATGTTCCTAGAGTTCAATCGAGCGGTACGATCAATAATCGTCGGTAAGAAAAATTAAAATTTAAGTTTAATGCGACATATAAGGTGTTCGATTTAAAACTAGAAGGATATAAAGCTGTATATACATATATGTTATAGATTTTTCATATAAACTTAGTTTTTTTTATTTATAAAAAAGATTAGCTTCTTTACAATATAAAGCATCGAATCCCTTTGCAAGAATTTTATATGAAAACGTAGACATTTTGTAATAAAAATAAAATTTACAAGAGATCTATAATGTAATGCGCAGATTTATATATTTCTAAGGCATTAAATATGTATTAAATATGTTAACATTTAGATTAACATTTCAATCAAAGGAGAACAAGAGCGAAAAGAAGAGATCGCCGGTATTACAGACATCAAGGCACAATCGACCGGATAATCTCGGTGAGAACCAATCTCGCACTTGACCGAGACGTGAGTAAATCACGTGCACGCGCGCGTAAATGTCATCGATCATATCGTTTCGATACGCACGCGAGATTCAAGACTCGCGCGAGAGGACCGAGACAGGAAGTCGGATACCTGTCGGCGGAGGGCGCGTTCATGCCGGAATCGATAACAGCAAGGAGGGCAGCGCGGGGAGGCCAGGATGCAACCCCGACGACGACGATGATGCACGTCGCAGGTAAATGGGTCGCGCGACGTAAAACACGCGCGCGCACGCGCGTGCGTTCGCCACGACTCGGCGATTCATCGCAGCTCCGATTTTTGCGAAATCGCCGACGTTCCCCCGTCTTCGGTACCTTCTCGAGCCTTCCACGCGAATTGTTCTGTCATCTCTCTCTTTCCCTCTATATCAGTCGGAATTGTTATCTCGCAACTCACCTGCGTGCACCTGTGTGCCTGACAGCGCTGTTCTCCGGAAGCGGTGTCCAAAATCCGCGGGCGCGAAAAGAGATCCGGTCCGTGACACACTCGCGGTCTCGATCAAATCGCGTACATAAGAAAGGAGAAGGGGGTTGCGACGGGAGGAGAATGACAAGGGCGAAAGAAGAGGAACGGGGTGAGGAGCGAAAAAGCGATGCGCGGAAGAAGGAAACGGAGCCGAGCAAGAAGATAGACAACGACGGAGAAAAAGAGATCTCGTATCGCGGGTGAAATGAGCCAGGGGCAGAGTTTCTCTCTCACGAAGAGCGAATTTCTTCTAATCTATAAAGCGATTACGAATCTCTCGTGTCACGGGGAGGAAGGCGCGACGAGAGCCCGACGAGAGCACACGCGCGGCTCTCTATCGCGGCGGCATTTTCACTGAGGAAACGGCGGAGAGGAACGAGAAAGAGAGCTCTTTGCGGCGAGATCCCCCCCTCCTCCCGAGTCGGCGGAGCCCCGTTTTCGTAAACGCTCACGGACTCTGCGCGTATCGAGAACGACCGGAGCAGGGTACGCATGCGCCTCCATTCACGATGGGTGCACGCGAACGCGCCGTCTCTTATCAGCGGCGAGCGTCACGTCGGTGCGGGGGTGCATTTAATCTCCCTTTCCCCTGCCATTCCCTTCTGCGTGAAAAAGAGACGTGGGGTTTTGAGGGCGCTCATAAAGAAGAAGAACGCGAGCGACACAGGAGCGGAACTGATTTTTAAAATACCTTAAATTGTAAAATATTAATTATCTTGTGTGAAAACAATATAAGAAAGATTGAGATTGATTAATTTTACCAGAAAGAAAAGAGAGAGAGAGAGAAAAGCAAAGATTTGAAAGAAATATTTGAAAGAAGAACGCATAAATAAAACATGAATAAAGTTATATATAATTCAGCTTCTAAAGAGATTTTAATTTTTACGTAAATAAATCTTTCGAGCAATGTTAAATTTAAATGTCAAGAATTCATTTTCTCAATTCCTTTGCTATACTCTTAATATGTAAAAAAGAAAAGTTCCAGGAATGAAAAGACAATGTGAAAGAAATTGATTATTTAGTTAATAATAAAAGTTACAATCGAATAATTCAACATATAACATAGATAAGTCTATTTTTTCAAATTTATAGACTTTTCTGAAATGCTTTTAATTTTTCTTTTAAAATATATAATATTATAAAATAACTAAATGTTATTACTTTATCTTTTCTACCATAAATATAGATAAGAATTATATATACTTAATAATAATATTATAAGAAAAAAGTCGTAGATATGACTACAACATAAATATATAATATTTACTCTTTTATAATATACTCTTATATTTCTTTTTAAGAAAAGATATTACAAATCTTTTCTTATCAGTTTACTCGAAAAGCGGATCCAACCACAGCTATTTGATTCTCTTATCTTTATACGTTGATTGTAAGAGAACATGATGCAGTTTTGGTATGACAGAGAGGGAAAAAGAGATAAAGAAAGTTAGGAGACGTTTATAAAGTTGCCGTAGGTGCAGATTTTAAACTCACTAGGTAGATTTACCTTAAAATTTTTCTCCTCTCAAGAAAAGAATGCGTACAATAAAAAATTAATTAAATCTTCATTGCTTTATAGTTTTGGAAAAAAATATTTCGTTACATAATTGCGAATGAAATAATCCTTTTTTAATTAATTTTATATATATTATAAATTATACTAGATAGATTGTAAATTATCTCAACCAAATTATCCTAGCTATTTCTATTTATCGCTTTAAAAATGTAACGCGAAAAGAAATACTCTTTAAATCGGATCAGGCACAGGAATTTTCGGCATACGACCTTCCATCATGTCATTCAATAGTACACTGATCTCCTGTAGGGAAATAGTTTATTAATTTATCTATTTATACGCGTATAATGCTTGAAATTAATATATGCTAATATCTTTTAATTATGTTTCTCTTACGTGAACTAACATTCATCTAATTATTAAGCAAACGTAATTGATAAAATATATACCTCTTCCCGCTGCATTCTCAGTCTATCGATAATAGGCTCGTTAAAATTAGGATCATTACTGGGATCTTCCAAAATACTTTCGTCGTTTCTCGATACTTGCGGTATGCGGGAGATATAGATTTGTTTGATGATGTCTAAAATTGCCGATGGTCTCGTTTGAGGAAATTGCAAATCGATTCGTCCGAAGGAATCCGCGCCCGCCGGCATCATTAATGGTTTCTCATAATCCGTGCACTTTTCTTCCCTTGTGATTTATTCGATACAATGTTTTGCGATTTAAATAGATAATAAATGTTAAAATCTACTGGAATGTGTACACAAGTATCATTACTTACGTAAATGAAGAACCGAATCCGTAATGAGATAATAGATCTTTAAGTCGTCGCACGAGAAACTTATCTTTAGATGAATAATAATAAAGACTTGAACCTAAACTGTGAGCTATTGCTCTGAGTATCTTGCCAATAAATTCTTTTTTATTCGAGTCGAATTCCTATTGCAATGATTAACAGACAATGAAATGTACAGATTTAAAACAAATTTGTTTAAGTATCAAAAATTCGGTACGATATGTATGCTAATTTCATTGAAGAGATTTAGAATTTATTGAAAAATTAACTTCGATAACTTATATATGTACCTTGAATTCATCATATCGTCCACCTAAGATACACATCTGCATCGGGAACGGATCAACTCCACGTTCCATATCTTTTTTTATGCTTGCTATTCTTTTTTCCTGTAATTTTTTAATTGTCTCGGAATCATAACTCATTTTCAAACCGCTTCGTAGTACAGAAAGGGTTTCCTCGAAGGAAGTCCATAATTCGTCTGGTCGCGATAAATCCAGCATCATCAATAAGACAGTATGATGAGGAGAATGTGTTAATGTAGATCCGGTCATTGCAACGGATACCAAAGAAGAAGTCAAGTGACCTACTTCCCACACGTGCACTATATTTTTCACCTGCATACACGTACATACACATATAGTATAGCATACTATTTATAAATTTAACAATTGAATAATGGATTACTAAGAGTTTTGATAAAATTAATAGAAATATTATTTTTATATGTTTTATTATAAAAATATTACAATAATTGTTATATAATTGTTATGTAAATAAATTTATTTTACGAAATTTGTAATTAAAGAAATGAGAGGAAATTATATATATTTATGATTTTTTAATGTAAAAAAGGAATAGAACATATTATTTATAAATATATTTTTACAAATAAGTGAATGTAATTGGCACTTACTAAACTTTTCACAGTTTTGCGACCAAACGAATAATCCATCGCTATAGTCGGTTTTGGTCTTTCGTCTTTTTCGAGAAATCGATATACCATTGTTGTTTTACCCTAGAAATGCAAAAACACATCGTGGCACAATGCAGTATAATACGATTCCTTTAATTTTATCACTTACAATTCCCTTACTACCAAGGATAATAATGGATCGTTCGTGAGTTTCATTTGGATCACTCTTGCGTCTGTTTTCTTCTTCTATAGCGAGCCGTAATGCAGTTTCCCGCATAGATTCTTCTCTATAAAGTCAATTTTGCTATAATTCTATTATGTCAAAAATATATGTTAACAAATATAATAGATAATAGATAGTAGGAGTTTCGCGTAAATTTTATTTATCAAATTGTACACATCTTTATTAAAGGCTCATGTATACCTTTCTTTTCTTCGAATCTCCTATATATAGATTATTACTATAAAATTATTGTTAAATAAAAAAATAATTTTATAAAGATATTCTCACATTAATGCTTTGATATAATCATTTAATATTTAATAATATATTATATAATAATACATGTTTCTTTAATATATATAATACAAAGGAGACTAACAAATTAAATATATACAGAATAAATTAATCACCGATTTTCTGCAGACATTGTTTTTAAAACAGTAAAGAATACTATTATAAATTGTAGTTGTATTCGCACAATTCCATGTTTCTTTAGGTTATGGACATATTTTACCTTTTGTTACTATAGAAACAGGTGAATTCATTCGTACCATTCTTGCATGATGTAAAGTAAATTTATATTTATATTATTACAGAGATGAGAGAGAGAAAGATCGGTATGCAATGTGTATATAGTGTGCAATAAAGCACAGTCTTCGATGTAGCTATTTAGAAACGATAAATAATTAATTTCTATATTATTTGACATTTTTTAATGTCCAGTCTTGATTTATAGAGTTTAGTAGGCATCAGGATTTGTTTATATTTAAATAAATAATGTGTTACATTTTAGTCTATTTTTCAACTGTCGCAATACCATTAATCCTTTATATTGATGTTCATAATACATTATGCAAGAATACAAGGTATAATAATTTATATCTACATTTTATCGCTTTTCTACGTAACGTTTTATTCATATGCGCGATGATCTAACGCGAGGTCATCAGTCTTTGTAAAGAAATATCTATGAAGAAATGTTTTTTATGGTAATCAATTCTGACTACTTTCATTTAATTTTGATTTTTCTACGATAAAGAATGTTTTTACAATATCCATCTCGCTGAATCATAACGCATAGTCCTCTAAATTTGTGAATTTGTTTATGAATAAAATCCATTACTTTTTGTATACCTTCTTTGCGTACATTATGTACAACTTTTAGACTAGATGAAATCAGGAATGTAATGTACACATTACAATTCATAATAAGATTCAAATTTTTTAAATGAAAATATATATATATGTGCAAAAATTTTCTTAAAATATTAGATCAAAATTTTTTACGCTTACAAATGTATCGTCATTCATTATGTTGTAACGAATTCTTTGTTATATAAGAATTGCGATATTACAAATGAAAAATAAAAATGTTAATAATATAAGCATTTAATAATATAAGCGGTTTTTTCCTAAAGAACCGAAAATGACGAGCTAGCATCTCTTTTTTTATAATATTTTAGGTGCGCACCATATTACCCATTCTTAATTTTATTTTACAGCATATTGATTATAATCAATGCATAGTCGACTTACATAATAAACATGTAACGATTAAAGCAGTAGTCATATTCATGTTGTTTTTAATTTTTTTTAAATTTAATTAAAATTTTTTTAAACAATTTTAATTTGATTTCTATATACATTGTATATTATACAATTCGTTTCAATCTAATTATTGTTGAAATTCTGGTTACGAAAAATATCTTTTAAAAAAACTAATTTTGGAAATGTAAGTTGTGCGCATACTAAATACAATATTATACAAAAAAATTTACAAATTACTACGCTCGGTTTCGCTACGACATCGTGATACATCAAAATGTCTACAAAGGATAATATTAAATTGCAAGAAAAATAAATATTGTTCCTCTCTGTAATCTTTTCGTCCACGACCACATATATATCTGTTCCAGAAAATAAAATTTCTATAAATATCTACGATAGTATATATACATATATATTTTATAGTAATTTCTTGAACACTATGGTCGGTAAAAATATTTGAGAGAGGTGTATGACACGATTATCCGATATAATCACAAAATTATAATATTAAATGGAAACGATGAGTGTATGATGTAAGTTGCTCATTAAAAAGGAAATAATATTGTCGGGATTAATAAAAAATGTTATGATTATATCATTTATGTGAAAAATTCATTTTTTAATATCAAGTGTCCTATTTTGTAGAAACATTATGTTTGATGTTCTCCTTCATCAAACTAACAACTTATATCGTGTTTTTTATCAGGATATATGTATCATGATATTTAGCATTAATTGTTTAAAGTACTTATGATGTTACGAATCATAAATCCAATGCGAGTAATACCTTCTTTTATAAAATCTATCGGGCAATCGATGAACGTCGATACCGTATGTTTCATGTTTCGGACATAACAAGTAATACAAGGAAGACGAATGTGTTACATAGATTAGTCACCTTTTTCTATAATATTTCATTGCTTCTATAATGCAGTATATTACGCGCTCTGCATGTTATCTAGTCCATATGTCGCTCATCCAATCGTCGTTTAACTCTTCGCTCGGTAGAACTTTTAATTTTCTCAAAGCTTCGAGATAAAATGTAAGTTCCGACGTGACCACGCCATGTTGCGGGCCACCATTGTTCACTATATTCATTTTAACTAATTGCTCCCTAAGTTTTTCTTTGAATGATGAATTTACCGTGCGATAAAGAGATTGTACTTCGATAGTAGGCAAAATTCCAGAGACGGCTTCATGAAGTTTCATTAGATAACTATGAAAGTAAAAGAGATATACATTTTCTAAGATATATATATTTTTAAAAATCACATTATTGAATATATATTGAGACATTTACCTAGAAATATTTCTGAAAGATTTGGATGGCACTGGGGGTCTTGCTGTCCATTTCGATATTTGTCCGCCTAACAAATTGTCTACGATAGTGAGAATTTTTCCTTCTATCTCACGCACATGCGCGCGAATGTCCCTTTCAACGCTATCTAATAAAGCCACCCCTCCACTTATACCGGATGTGCCAATGAATCCTCGACTAGGATTTTGTTCTGTGAGTTCTGTATATTAAAATACTGAGGATAAATATTCGTGTATCTATTTGATGTTAATTTTGATTTGATGTACAAATATTTGATATATTTTAAATTTTATCATGTGAACTTACCTTGGAAATGTGTCTTGACAAAAGGCATAAACCACAATATAAGTTTGAGACTTCGGGCCGCCAATACAAGTATCGTACTTGTAATAGTTTTTAAGCCTGCGACTTGCATTGCGCCCGCACCCAAAACTAGTTGACAGCATCGAGAATTATAATGTCTTAGTAATTCAGCTAATTGTCTTCCTATAGTTCCAGATAAGGCGACTAATTCACTGCCAGTCCTAAGAAAATATCGTATGTTATATTATACGTTGCAAAGTTTACAAATAGATTCTGTCTTTACCTGCAGTACTCGTGTATCATTTGTATAAGCATCAGAGCAGTACCAACAACGGCGAATTTCTCATCGTTGATCATAATAAAATTTTCTACACTCTCATTTCTCGTGTCATCTTCGCGCGTAAATATTTTAAGCGGAAAGCACTTGTTCTCGTATACATATGTCACTAGCGACTGAAATTCTAATGGCACGTCAGCTTGTTTCCACCTTTCGGACTCCAATAACAGTGTCAATTTAGTTTTGCGTTCATTATGAAAGCGTTGTACAAATTTACTAGCTTGTGCCTGTAAAAAAGATGATGAGAGAGTTAGTTTATCTAATAGAGTTAAAAATTAATTTTAAATAATACGCATGACGTGTGCATAAGTAATTACCTTAAATGCCGATCGTAACGCAGTACACTGCTTGCCGCACAGTTTTTCACAAGCGTGCGTAAATTCTTCGACCATATTGGCCAGCTGACAAACCTGAGCGGTCGTTGCTTTCTCGCTCAACCAAGAGCCCTTGTCGTTCCACGTTTGACCTTCTTTATTCTCCTCTAATTTATTCTGCGAGACATCAGCGATAATCTTGTCGTTATGAAGTTTATCCTTCTCGTTTGTCCCCGCCGAAAGTAAATTGCCCATTCGCTCGTGGCAATAATCACATACAGAGGTAATCATATCAGTGAGCTTATGGGTTACTCGCGTATGCTCTTCTTGAGTCAGTAATCGATCAGGTACTGATTCGTCAAATGAACCATCGCATAAACGTCCAGCTGACAAGTCCGCTGTGTCTCTCATTACATCATGAACTGCCTAATAAGAATATTCAATTATTATATATATATGCTATACTAATCGCTTTTCTTAAAAGTAATAATTAACTTAAAAGAAATAATGGTCGTCACAATCTCAAGATTGCAATATTATTTAATTTTCATAATTAAATACTCTTGTCATAATTAAATATTCTTCTACACTGTAAATAAGTGAAACAAAATTTCATATTTGAAATTCATTTTAAAAAATTTCTTTGATGTAATAAACAATCGTAAAAGATAATACAAAGTGAAGTGTATATAAGTGAGTTATAACCTTTCCGGATTGTATATACCTTAACTCGTAGTAGAAGTGATGTGAAAGATTGTATGGCATTATGGAGCAAAGTTAATCTTTCCGTCAAAGAGAGACCCCCGACTTCGAGAGCAGCCGCTTGCTGATCGCTACAACAGTCGCTTGCTGCCAGAGCCTCTATCACTCGTTGTTTCGTCAAGGCTCTTACGGTGGTTACAGCTTCCTCTTTGTACGTATCCACAAATTGAAAATGTTTCTGACGTAGTAGACCAGAAATGATGGAAACCAGTTTATCCTGTTCGTTGAGGTACAAATGATCTCACTGGGAAGAGATGTATGAAGGTTTGTTTGCTACGAACTAGGGATAGAATGCGGTTGCAAAAAGTTGTGGAAGTACTTACACCGTCTAAAACGGTATTCTCGCCGCCCAGTGGTCTATTGAGATCTGCTGTCGCATATCTTTGAAACTCAGTTGACAGCATCTTGTCCACGAGTTTCTCCATTTCAGTTAATTGAGAACTTAAATGTCTAAAATCAAATCAAATAAATAATTGCGTATGTGTAACGTTTCGATAATTTGTCAATTATTCCCTAAAGAAGATTGCGCGGATATTTACCTAAAGCTATGTATTCCATTCAATTCCTGCAAGAGAATTTCTTGCGTCGTGGAAATAAGATCTAATGCTGCAACATAATCTGGCGTAGATAGCAATAATTGTATCATGGGTTGACTTTGATGCACGGTTGCCATAAGTTTTAATTTCTCTTGCACCAATAATCTATTAGATCTAGCACGTTCTAGGCTAAATAAGAAGCACAAATATTGTGCAAAATAAATACATTGATACATAGATATAATAAATATATTATTACTGCATCCGTACATCCGAATATCCTGAAGCCGTTAGAATGTTATGCTCGTAAATGATTATTGTATTTCACTTATGAATAAAGAATTTATCTAAAATAAATAATTATAAACTCTCAACAATAAAAATAGTCAGTTGAGAAATGTATTCTCAATTTGGTGCGAATGTAACAATAATATATTTCTAAGATAAAAATATATTATAAAAATATATTATAAATATATTATAAAAATATATTATATTTTTATGTTATTTAATTTTCATGTTTCTTTAAGATATGCTCTTGTTTAATACATTTTTGAAACAAATGATTCACATGCTGTATATATACTTACCGTAAAATTTCTAGAGAATTTTTGACTAGATGCTTATCGACTTGATGAATATTCTTCCTGAGAGCTTTTAAAACCGTAATAGTTTGAGTAAGTTGTTCCATAAGCGCGTCATGAGATGTCATTGCATGGAAAAAGGCTTGAGATTTCGACGCGACTTGCTCCGCTATTCGGACTTCCACAATGTCTAGATAGTGACTAAGCTGTTACAGAATATTTTACATAATTCAACGACTGATTGTTGAAATCTTGGAAATTAATTTCGTGCATGAATTTACGAAATAATTATTTTTATAATGACAAAATATTTAAATTGATAAATGTAATGTTAGAGTATCAAATTCTTTTCTTCTTTCGTTTATAACTGTACCTTTTCTTGCATTTGCTTCACATGCAAAACAATATTGCATTCCTCGGTTAAAAGACCGTCTTTTGCAAATGGAAACACAGCATCAAAATTGTCCCTTTGTGAAAGATCTAAATTCGGTACTAAGAAAATCTTTGGAATACTAGCTAAATCAAATTGCAGCCGATCTGAAATAAAAGAAAAATATATTATAATATTTTTAAAAAAGTTGTTATATATAAAGAGTTATTTAAAAGTTATATTTAAAAGTTATATATAAAATTACTTATAGTTGTACTATATATTGTAAAATATATTAGAGAAAAATCAAATATAAGTCTGTGCAAGTTAATTATTATATAAATCTCGAGATATATACAAAGTTAAATTTAATATTAAAGCTTAAAAGAAATTTTGGTGAATTAAACTTGTATGTAATTGCATAAGAAAACTAAGTTTTTTCTTAATTGAATTTAAACAAATTTTATTTTTTAACAAAAAAATATTATATTCTTTGTAATAATATATCCTTGTTACTAATGTTTTTTTGAGTGCATCATCTATGTACAATACATTAAAGACCATAAATCATTTACCTAGTGATTTCACCTTCCTAAGGTTCGGAAAATTTTGGAGTAGTTCATTTGGAGTAGTTGGCCTATTTGCACTTGAATTCATACGTGAATGTTTTCTATATCTCTGAAAGAATAAATATAAAATAGATTTTTTATTATTTATTATTTATACACACAAAATAAAAACATATATCAGAAATTATTAAAAATAATATTTCCATTAAAGAAATTTTATATTTAGTATAAATATTGATTACCCTTGCAATTTTTTTTAAATATGTCTCAAAATGTTGCATTGTGATCTCAGGAAGGTAAGGACTCTTTGGAATATCCACTTTTTCCACAAATCCATCTCCCCAGGTACGAGTTAAAAAATTACTCTGCTTTCCTTTGAACGGATCGTTTAGGACAGCAGGTAGATTTTGTGAAGCCGAATAAACGGTCCACGACGAGCCGATTTCGGACTGACCGTTACTTTTTCGTTGTTGTTGCATAGCTGCGTGTTTAGTGGCGTGTGCTATATAATCCTTATCAGAGACACCTTCCACAGGAAGACTAGTGCACACCTCATTATAGCCATAGAGACATACAAAGGATCCACCTTCTCTGGAACAATGTTGATCTCTCAGGTGCCTAAAACAAGTTGTAAAATAATGCAGTTGTAAAATAATCATATACTATTAAATATAATTAAGTAGACACATTTTTTTCAAGTATTATTAAAATGAGACATGAGTATGCGTTTTTTGGAATATAATCAGACATTACATTGAAAGCAACAATTTCGAAGCATGACTTTAAATTGTTCGATTATGAAAAAAAGAATCGCGAAATGTATCATCGTTTTAATAAAAACGGAGCGACTAACTGACAGACATTAGACAGATGGACCCACCTAACGAAGTCTTGAATTTGCTTGAATGTCTGGTTGGTGCAATGTTCGCATACGAAAATCATGGGTACCGTGTCGGATCCTCTCGCAATCTTTGCCATTGCCCGTATGTCACCTCAGCTCACCATCGTGATGTCAAGAGGCGCGTTTCGGAGCACTGCTCGGCTGGAGAGATTCTCGAGTCTCACACGCACGATCGCTTTTAACATGTACACGTCCCCACTTACGAATACACACGTTTTATGTGGTTTTACGATATGTACACGTTGGCCAACTCAAAAACGAGACAGCCGGCTCAGCGAAGGTCACTAACAATAGTCCCTTCACACATGATCTCTCAAGCTCCCTTTTGATAAAATTTTTATTATTCATAAACAATGCGTTTAAATTATGTTAATGAGTATGATCATGTTAATGAGTCATTGTTTTCAATGCGCCGCGCATTTTTGATGACTCATAATTCGTATTTCTCGGAGCACGAATTACTCTTTCGAAGACATTGTGAACACGCGTCTCCAACGTCAGGCGCAAGACTGGAATCGAACCAATATGAAACGTGCAACGTGCCATGTGCCATCACAATCTTCTTCAGATGGCGTATTGGTGAATGGAAGAATTTACTGTCATTTTCCCTCCTATGTTACTCCGATTTTCCTTGCCTACAGATCGCTTCAAAAGACGTTAAACGTTTTGAGATATATCCATTTCACAAATAAATAATTATATTAGCAATCACTGAGAATAAATAAGCTTGTGAATGTGCAATTCGTACAATCTCTACAATTCGATTTAATATTATTTTATTTTCGATAATTTAATTTTATGTGCAGTATAAACTATAGATGTAAGATACAGTTCAACAATAGTATATACATTCAACTTGAAGGATTTATTCCATTTGAAGCAAAAACAAGTATTGACTTTGATTCATTTCTTCGATTCATTTCTGAAAAAAATATAAAATTAGCATTTTTATAACAGTAGTAGCAACTTTATAATAGTAGTAGCAACTTTAATTTTTTTGAAATATTTAGGAAATCATTTACTTTAAAAAATGCATTTTTTTATTATTTATATTTCAATAATTTAAATAAATTATATAATATTTAAATTATGTACTGTTATTCTTTAATTTTTATTTTTTTGTGTGAATTTTTAGCAAGAAATTCATTTTTATTATTTTATTAAATATTAATATTTCATATTAATATTTGATATTTTAACTTATTTAGAAATAACTTTCTAAAAAATTAGATTCCATCGATAATATTCGTATTATCGTCGATAATATCTGATATTAATACGCGATAAAAAAGTATATATAAATTTCTATTATTATTGTTATGTACATATGTATAATAATAATAATAATAATAAAATATGTGCATAATAATAATTCTATATATAATTTTGTAGGAAAAGAACATTTTTTATATTCTACGGATTAATTTATATGATATTTAAAACAATAGCATAAGTTGTGCAACAGACTTTATTTGTATGAAAGATCAAATATTATGAGAACAATTTTGTATGAGTTACTGCAATTTTATTTTTTGTTCATATAGAAAAAATATTACTGACACATGTAATCGAACTTAAGGGATTATTTTGTTGAACGCTTTTTTAAACGGGCAATTTGTCATGTTTTCTATCACAAAATTATTTCATAATTTTCCATCAGATTATGTTGCTTTATTTCTTTGTGTTTCTGCATTTATTACGCTGTTTTATCATTTGCTCTTCTTCAATGTTTCCGATTTTTTTCAATGTATAGTTGCAGCTGTTAAACTTCTTATTAACATTATTATGCGTAACAATAGAATGTCATTATTTTCGATATAAAATGGCTATTTGTCCTCTAAAAATCAATTATTTAAGATGACATTGTATAGTATATGTAAAATTATATCGCAAAAAGATTCGATAGAAAATATCTGCAGTATCAAAAAAAAATTTAACTTAACAAAGATGAGTAAATGATAGTCTGAAAATTCTTTTCGCGAAGTAAACAAGAATAATTGACGAGTATATATAAACAGCTGTCCCTGCGCTATTATCATTGACAATTTGATCAGATGATATCGATTCTCTAATTTATTCTTGTGATCGTCTCGTGTTGCGCGACTGGCAATAATCCAAAATTTGCATTGCGAATGAATTAAATGAGACAGATGTTGCATGACTCCTCCAATTTAAATGATAATAATTATTGACTTTAATGCCAACGATTATTATTATTATCGTTCTCGCTTGTTCGTGGTAGAGGTGGTGGTGTTGGTATGGCTTGACTAATCTGCAAAGTTTGTCTCATTTGCTCCTGCTCTTGCTGTTGTTGATGCTGATTTCGGCGTACTTCGTGAGCCAGTAACTTTTGACGTTTCTCCTCCATCAATCGCTCACGATGCTTGTGTATATAATCATATATGTTTGGAAGACCCATAATCACACAGGCTGATAATGCTGATCTGCATATATTCATATCTGTTGCCTCATACCTGCGTTTATGCATTGTAGGAATAAATATTATAATTTTTACACAGAAAAGTAACTAATGAGATTTAAATGCTTGTATCAGCAGACACTTCTTTTTTCTTCCAAATTTAATTGTACAGAACGTCTTATAAATTTTCAATATTTTGAATTATATAAGAGAAATGTGTCCAGAAAATTGAATCGAGGTGCGAGGTTTTTAAAACAGACATTATTATGTCATAGTTAGATTTTTAACTGCTTATATTATCTTTATATATTATTGCTTTCCTATAAGAGTTATAAAATGATTGATAAAAAATTGATTACAGAAAGATTAGTTACCATTCGTTTGTTTTTTCATCGTAACATTCCACCTGGTACGTCGTAGTAACACCATTAAATCCACCGATAGCAAAAATCATATCGTCAATGACTTCAATGGCGAAATTGCTACGCGGATTATACATATCCGGAATATGGCTCCATGTGTTCGTAGAAGGTTTATATTTTTCCCCGCTGCACATTCTCGATATTCCATTAAAGCCTCCTTTATAGACAGAGATTGTTAATTTTTATTTTATATATACGTAAACCTATGTATGAAATAAAAAGTAATTAAAAAGACAAACTTTTTTTTAAATTTTACAATGATGACATTTTGATATTTGTGCATGATTGATAATATTCAGTTAAATATATTCAAGGCATACTAAGATAGTTTCAAGCGAAAAACAGTTTTGGAAAATTTTCTCGTTTATACAAATATTTGTATATATGTTTTACAATAGTAAGATTTCGTTCGTAAGTACATCTTAATACCGATAACATAAACGTAGCCATGATAAGATATGCATGACACGCCACTCCTACGTGACCTCATTGCAGTTATCATTGTCCATTGGTTGGTGTTTGGATCATATACTTCAGCTGTATTGAGACAATCGTGCCCGTCGAAACCGCCCGTAATATATATTTTGTCTGTAGAATGAAAAATTATAATGATCGCTATATTGCAAAAATAAAACTGACAGAAAAGCACATCCGAAATTTGAAAATTTATTTATTTTGAAGCAAAAAAATTATCTTCTTAAAGATATATGTATATATTTTTTTTCATTACATAACTTTCTTGTAATATATTTTTTCTGTTAATGCTTCAATTATTTATCTTCATGTTTATATTATATGTAACAAAAAAATTATTAATATAAATATTACATTAAAAAAATATTTTATAATATATTTATTCATCTCATTATTTATTTTTAATATAGCTGGATGCTGCAACCACTATCTTTTGACGAAATAAAACAAATGTATCAATATGCTCATTTTAAAGATCCAATAATACCATTCAAAGTAGTTGCGCTGGCATCAGATCTCTGCACGTTCATAGGTGCAATGAGAGACCACTGATTTGTCTTGTAGTCATATCGCTCCGCTGTTTTTTGTCGATGATATCCATCGTATCCTCCCATTGCATAGATTAAATCATTCAAAACTGCCACACTAACGTAACATCTGTGACAAATAGATTAAGCCTGATGCGAGCTTTCGTTGCCAATGATATTAGAGGAGCTAGTCACTTCAGTTATATTGTTTGTACAATATCTATACGTACATACACACATTTTACTACATCAAGCATTAGTGCTATTATATAATACAATTAATTTGTGATCAATTAAAAAATGTGCATTTAAATATGATTTTGAAAGTATATACATAAGTATGATATTTCTGTCATTCCTTTATTCTATATTTATTCTATATTTATCATTCCTTTATTCTTATTATCTACATTGTAAATAAGTGGAATAAATAAGATCCAAAAAAGTCATCCAAATCTTTCAGAACTAGTGACTAGCCCCTCTGAAATATATTTGACCTTCTAGCATTCATGGGAGCAACTTCTCGCCACACCTTGGTCACCGCGTTGAAACAACGACAACTGTTGAAATAATCGACTCCATCAAACCCTCCGATGACGTAGATATTGAATCCGATTACTGCGAGTCCATGATAAGCTCGGGGACTGGTGGGATCTGTTTCTTCAATCTAGAAAACAAAAGATCTAAATAATTAACTCTGTTGAAATTGTGTTTATTTGAATTTCAGTATAAACATGACTTAGAGAGAATCATGAATGTTATGTTATTTCAATTTCTTTTTATGAAACAAATGGATTAATGCCAAATAAATAATAATTTGTATCTATTTATTATATATGTATATGGTTTTACATTATATTAATTTATATTTCTCGTACATATATGTACGATGTATACATCGTGTTCCTTTATTTGTTATTACATAATACGTGCGCATAAAAACCTGCGCTCTCATTGCCTCTGACTATTTCTGTTTAATTTATATTTCTCGATTTTTACAGTCTACTTTGCGATTATGCATAATGAGACGATATTTTTTCGTTATGTTAAAAAAGTTGTACATTAAAATATCATTGATACTACCGGAATCCACCGATCTGCTCTCGTATCATAAGTCTCGATATAATTTGTCGGCGAGCCGCCGCTCCATCCACCGATGGCGAACAGAATTTCATGCGGAACTCTAGGTCGCGCGATTTCCGGTGTCGGCACTTCTCCGTCTTTCTGGGTGATCATCTCCAAATCATATAGAAATTTCAGAGTTTCGATGATGATGGGTCTACACGCGTCATTACCCACGACATAAGGATGATCCTTGACATTCTCCAGAAAAAACTGCGTGTCTAAGAGACCGAGTCTAATATTCTTCATTAGATCCACTATGTAATCTTTTCTAGATTCTACATCGTGATTTATCCATCTTAGTATTAATTCCCAAACTGTTTGCTCGCTTTTCACGTTTAATTCATCGGCACCTACTAATGGCTTCAATTCCTCGATAGGTAAATGTAAAATTTCTTCGCTTCTCTGAGATACCTAATGTAAGAGAATGAAATTGAACAAGAAAAGGAAAATAAAATATGTGAATAAATTATCATGCTGATCGAACCTCGACAAAATGTCCTACAATAAAACGATAAGCATCATTTTCCAACTTTTTGCAAAAATGTTGACGAGCAAATCTCATTACTCCGATACAATTTTCCGGCGCCAAATTATCTCTTAGATAATCACAGCACAAATCAAGTACACCCAGAATGCTTAAATAATCTGCCGTCGTTAACAATTCGCATACATTTTCACGATTTACATCAATAGATCGCAAATATGCGTATTCCAGCAAGAGATTCATCATCGGGCTTGTCACACCTGGTAAAAGGACATCGGTTTTCTCACGCGAATGCAATGTAGTTGTGAATAATGTCCTGCAAAATGAATTAGGCAATAAAAATTGCGAAAATTAATCTGATATTTATGTTAATTAATATATAAATTTATTATATTGCATATTATAAATTTTAATAAGGATAATATTTATTTTAATAGAAATTTATTATAAAAATTAAAATAATAAAATCAACAAGACTAAAATTATTAAATTCTATAGATTGTTATTGTAAGAGATATTCACACACATTAACCCTTTCAGCTGCCAAACAACAATATATCATCGTTAGCTACTTTTTTTATAATTGTAAATAAATATTATTTAGTGTGATTTTTAACAAATATTGAAATACTTTTGTTGATTAATTTTCTCTTTATTTCTTGATATGTTTCTTTTTAAATTTTATAATTATCATTTTTTATAAAATTTTTATAATTTTTTTTCTTAAACCTTATCAAACTACAACTTGGTTCAATATTTTTCATTCAGATACAACTTTTTTGGTCGGCATCAAAAGGGTTAATGTTTTGCATATAAAAATTCATATATTTCTCTCTGAAATTAATATATTTACGCATTGATAAACAAAATTATTTTTTTCTTATGTAATGGCTCTCTCTCTCTCTCTCTCTCTCTCTCTCTATATATATATATATATATATATAATATATAATATATATATAATATATATACAAATACATAATAAGAAATTCGAAGAAAATATGTCAGATAGAATTAAAAACCTGAAATAAATACTGCATGCCGAAAGTATAGCTCGATGAATCGGAAAAACACCACCGTCCTCTAATCTCAATACTGCATCACAAAGCAAATTATTTTGTCGGAAATCATAGAGCGATTGCATCGCTTGCGTACTCATGCAACGGCCCCCGCTTTCGGCTATTAAACGTTGATTATTTCCATTACATTTTTCATCTTTTTTGCTGCTCGTACTTGGTTCTACATCCATATCAAAATAATTGAGACGTTTGATGGCCTCGCAAAGATATTAACGCGTAAATTGCAACATTAAAATATTTTTATTAAATTCAACAATTTTTCTTCAATAGATCTACGAGAAAGAAAACAAATAATGTATTACTTTAATGCAGAGTAAAATAAGTCACAATTTAGTATTTTTTAGTATAAATTTAAATATAATATAGTACTGAAAAAATTATACAATTATAATTTAAAAAAATTATTTTATTAATAAAATAAGATTAAAAGTTAAAGATGTATCGATTAACAATTTCTTATTACAATGAAATAATGTATCAAAATATAATTAATAAATATGATTAATAAATTACTAACAAAACAGTTTTGAGTTATATTGGTTAAGTATATATGCAAGAGAGAGAGATTATTATTATAATGATACATTTATATAATCGAATTATTTCGGATTAAGTTATCAAATTTTTAAGATTATATATATAACTTATATATTTAATTTATTTTATACTTACTGAATATAGAGAATAATTATTTCCTGAGAATTTAGTAATCGCGCGGGAGGTTAGCAATTCGTATCTTGGTGCAGATTGACTTTTACAATTTGCGACTTGACAATTTTTCGATCTGGGATGAAGTCGTGATTGCAATAAAGTCCCGCTTGCGATCAGTTGCTGAGAGTGATTAACAATGGCTGAAATGTATTGTCGTGTGTTGGGCTCATATGTGCTGGAATTTGGAATGTGTCAAAATTTTGACACGTGGATGGAAAGATCGAAGACCGATTCGCGAACTGAAGAAATGCAGAAGGCTATGAAGGGGAATGTGTGAAAGCGGTGAGGGGATTGTTAGAAGGAGATACAAATTATTTTGTATGATTTTAAAAGCGAATAAATGTCGCGTTTGGCTGTGACATGTGGTCTTACATGTCCGCCGTTCAATCAGAGACTGTTGCTCGACAAAAGAGATCCTTCTGTTCCTGCTTCATACCGAGCCTGAGTTTATTAACAAGTTTTTGTTATTAATTAAATTATTAATTTATTTCAAATTATCGTAAAATTATATAGATTATTAAATAATTTCCCTTATTGTATTCCCTTAAGTTCATTGTTAAACATTCATTGTCAATTAAATTAATCGTCGAAGGAAAATTTATGCACATAAATTTCTTTTTTACACGAGTCATTCCGTTGCATCAACATATTGAAGTCATCTAGTGTAGCGACACGTCAAGTAGTATCCAAATTTGAGACACAGGTACACGTGTTTACGATCGTCTTGACGTTGTTGCACTCTATATTTTTCTCGTCGGTGTATTCATCTTCCTCAATTCCTTCGTTATTTCGCGATTTTCTTTTTCTCTCCTCAAATATGTGCTTCTGCTTCAATGCGTCGTGCTTGCAATCTGATTGTCTGCAATTGTGAGTCAGACAAGCATTGTTATCCGGCATTAATCCACTAATTGGCAAGATGGACCCGATTGAATATGACGTGGTGAAGCCGTTGCTCCCCGAAATATTATCGAAAAATGCATTCCACGTGCTGGTGAAGGACTCGTATCCTTTCGTCATACGATTTTTTGTCTGCATCGATACGATATCCTCCCTCTGCGGTACTTCACTTGATTGTTCACCAAATAATCTGAATGTCCATGTGACCACAGTAAAGGTTGCTGCATTAGTCGGAAATGCTCGAAGAATCGTTGAATTTAACCCCCGGTATAAGCAGCTGTATCCTTCGGCACGTATGGACTTCTTGAGACAATCTAAAGCCCCCGAATAACGATCGCTACTTTCCGCTTGTATGCGTGATTTGATGACATCAATCGGATAAGAGATCACCCAGGAAGCAGTTCCAGCGAGTCCTCCGGCCAGTAGCATATGAGGTGTCGAGATCGGCTGTTTCGAGGATGTCTTAGTCAGCATCTCGTAGGTCACGAAGTATACGCCGTAACTTGGTCCTTCCCTGAGAAACGTAATATTCAAGCCCTTGAAAATGCCACGATAGCCCTCCTTCTTGTAGATGTTCCTCAAACACTGCATCGGTCCACGGGAATCACTCTGAAGCGGAGACTGTAATTGTAGACGTGTTTTTGCCAACTCTATTGGACTTGAGACGGGAGTTTGTGCAATTCCGGCAGATACACCGGCTAAGAAATGTGCCGACAATCGATCAGGTTCGGATAGATGCCGCTGAGTATGTCCATAAACACCGAAGACGATGGCATTTACCATAGCCACCCCTGCGATTGGCGATGACATGCCTCTGTAAAGGCCGCTCATCTGTACAAAAATACACATAAATGGCGACATTATTAGATTTTGTCCGTAAATAAGAGGAGCGAACTAAAAATCTGAGATTCTCATTTTCTTAACTCGGTACTATAATCAATTTCTCTTCTTAAAAATACCGATTCTTTTGCGACTATAGTACGTAGACAATCCCAAGTGCCTCGATATTTCGGGTTGCGGCAATCCTGCGTTTGCATATGAACTTTGACTGTGTCCAAAGGATATCCCACTATAATACCGGCACATCCTAAAATTTATAAAATAGTTTTTAATATACTAAAACGAAATCCTTATAAATACTTTTATGTTCATTACCATATTTTAGTACCATATTTTTATATAATACATGAAATCTGTGCAATGTATTATTTAAGAAAATAAATTACAATTAAAAATAAATTTATTTTTATTTGTAAAACGATATGTATAAAAAAATAAATATTTGAATATTAGTTAAATTTTTTATTTACGTAAGTTTGATAAAACGAGAAATTGCTATTTCGACATGTTATTTCCGACTCACGCGATAAACCAAGTCATCTGATAAAATAAAACTTTTCTTTATTATTATCATTTAAACCAATGACATTTAAACCTAATATATTATACGAACAATAATTGAGATAAAAAATTAACTTTTATAAATTCGATTACACTTGTTTATGAAATAATTCACTTTGATAAAAAAAATTATATGAAAACAATTTATGCAAACAACGTAATTCAATTTGCAAAAGTACACTTTACCACCCAAGCAACCAGCAAAGAAATCGAGTGCCATTTTTATCTTGTATTATCTGCGATCTTTCCACTTGCAATATCGTCTGTTTTTATGAGAATCGTCCTCAAATCTTGTTTCTCTCAGGTATGCATTGAAAGATGTATGAATGAATCGATTAATATCGAACAATAAATTCGAATCCATGAAAGACTATGTAACTAATCCTTTTAAATTAAGCTTCGAATATGTATAGATGACAAAATAATATTCGACTATTCCTGAAAAAAGTGATTATTTAGTAAAAATAATATTTTATTGCGACTGACTAAAATATACAATATTATGGAGATATTTTTATTATCGCTTTTATTATTTACATTGTTTAATTTTAGTTTATATAATTTAATGTATTATGTCAGAATAATATTAATCGAAAGAAAAACAATTTTATTAAGTATTAAATTATTGGCAAAATTATCTGACAATGTTCTTTTTAAAATTTATTTTCCTTTTATTTTTCTCAAAAACAAATTAGCACATTTCAGATTAATTAAAACTTATTACATATCAAAAACATATTTATAATTTTAGGATTATCGCGTATCATATAAATATAAAAATTATATAAAAATCTAAGAGAACGTAATAGTGAAATAAAATATAGTAAAATATAATAAATAATATAGTGCAACGCAACAAAAAATTTTAACGACTATAATCGCGTTAGTTTACCTAATGATTGATTGTTTTAAAGACATGTAATATCACTTCACTAGATCACTTCAGCAGTTTGCCTTTAACTGAACGATAATATAACTTCACTCGTTAGATAGTGTTACGATATTGTCAAATAAATTTTGTCGATTCATTTTTTTTACCAAAAAATTACATGTATAACACATATATTCCGGCAAAAGAAATTATGTAGCGTGCTTCCTTCCTTAAATCTTCTTTCTTACTGAAGAGAGAGAACAGAGATTAGTGTTTCTTCCAACTTATCCTTGGTACAAAGATCATTACATTATCGTTTACATTATCAAATTACTAACATAGGCTGATATACACACACACATACATAAGTGCCATCGTAACAGTGTGCTACATATTATTGAAGAATATGTTAATAACATTTTATATTTTATCGCATGACATGCCGTCGTGATCGAATGAAGCACGGGGTCACAAACATTGGGTGATAAGATTGATTAAGTCTCGTATACTCAATATATATTTTATTTTACATTAGCGGTCAGATAGTGATGTGAACTTTTTGGGATACTATAAAAGAAATGAAATACGCAATAGCGATATATTTGATGCAGCACATGACTTAGGATGGTTGAGGTCAATCACAATTCCATATTCGTTTAACATATACTGCAGATCGCATGATATTATCGCTGATATTAATTGCATGAAAATATTCATTCATTTTCAGAACGATATTTAAAAAATTATCAAAATTATTATAATGAAATAAAGGTCCATTAGATAAAATCACTAAAAATAGTTAAAAGGCTTCAAGGACCAACGCAAAGGTGAAATTTATGCAAAAATCGAACGGTTGTTTCAATTTAACAAACCATATGAAAATGTTTATTTAATTTAAACACAACAAACGCTGCGTTTCGATCCAATTCGAATCCTTTTCAATAACTTTCGAATAACAAAGTGAGTAATAAACATAAAAATAAAAATAAAATTAACAATCATTGATATAATATAAATAAGATTCGAAAAAAACACAAATCAAAATAAATGGTAATTAAAAAGTCAAAAAAGTCAAAAGCAAAGATGCGCAAAGTAACGGATGATTCAAACAATTTTATATTTTAATTTTGTTTATTTTCTAACGATTCCTTGAACATTGAAAAAGATCTTGAAAAAATCGAAAAGTACGTATGTAATTTTATTTTTATATCTAACAGATTATTAATATATTATGTCTCTTACTTAGAATTTTTTATTATTTTACGCTATAACATCTTGCGCCACGGTCTTTATAGCCTTTCTTTTTTATTGCGTTTTATCATATTTATTACGTTTCCTTTTGTCTATTTGATACTATTTTATTTAATTGCATGCTAAAAAAAATGGAATTCTTTGTTCTTTTCTTTTCATTTTATATTGATAAAAAGTTTAGATTGATAAATAAATTTTTATCAATATAAAATGAATAGAAAATAGAAACAAGCATATTTCGAAAATTCAAAAATTATTTCAATATATCTATATCTATAATTACTCTATTATTTATTTCTTGAGTTTACAATGGTAAATTTTTAAAAAGTTTTCTATATAAATTGAAATGGTTTACACAAATTCGAAATATACTTGTTTTTATTTGCTATAATTTAAAAGAAAGATAGTTTATTTATCTCGAAATTATATACTTTATATAAGACATTATTTCGTTTATAAATCTTAAGTATTAATATAATATCATATCATGCGTTGCCATTAATAACGTATAGATAAATTATCGTAGCAAGATATAGTCCTATTTATTTACGCATGCATGATAGATGACTATAAAAGATTTACTTTATGAAAGATATTATATTATCTCGAGCGTTAGGTTTTCGATAACTTTTCGACCCTTTGTCGCGTGTTTAGTGTATATATATCTCTCTCTTGGCATGCATCAGTACTTGTTTTTATTCTTTCGCAATACAAGGGTATATTTCTTTCCTCAACCTGTTAAAACTGATAGCTTCACTACAGCCAGCATCAGTTCTTCTACAACGTTGAACAAGTAAAGTTCAATTAAATCAAACAAAAGTCAATCAATTAGGCGTATCTTTATATTTTTGGATGATAATGTATGCGCAAACAAGCCGACAACTTGACCAAATGGATGCTGAGAAGGGAGAAGATTATTCACTTCTTAGTAGCTCACCTCCAGACACGGTAGGATAATAAAATTATTATTTTTAGCGAACAGTCGAATATCGATTTTGTACAATTCTTATCAAATTATTTTATTGAAAATAATAAAATAATTTTTTTTGTTTTCGTAAATGAATATTTCTCCTGTAGGAACAGAGAAAGAAAAATGTACATATGAGGTGAAATTGTAATAAAAAATGATTATGAACAATGATTATATAATGATTATATAATGATTATATATAATGTATATAAAAACTTATGTATTTAAAAAATGATTATATAATATATTATTTTTTTTTTTTTTTTTTTTTTTTTTTTTTTTTTTTTTTTTTTTTTTTTTTTTTTTTTTTTTTTTATAATATATATATATTTTTTATATATTTTTATATATATATATATAAATTATAAGTATTATTATCTATCAAAAAAAGTCGTAACATTCAATTTATATATATACGCATTAAAGTGATTTCATTTAATACATATATATATATATATATATATTATATATATATATGTATTAAATGAAATCACTTTAATGCGTATATATATATATAAATTGAAAGTTACAAGTAGTAAGTAACATGTTATCACATATTAAATTGTAGTTTTATCATAGACTGATCGTGATTGACACCGTGATGTACTAATCGTTACATCATATACGGAATACTTATCATTCTCTTTCATAATATGTTTGAATAAAATACATCTGTATATATACGTAATATAGTACGTATGATTTATACATAAAAAATATAATATAACGTATATCAGCAATTTAATTTTAATCGGACACTTATCGATGTTTCAATAAATTACAAATATGATGAAAGAAAATCATTTCTTGCATATTACATGTTTGTAAATAACGGTTTAATCGAATTATAGAAATTCACAATACATTTCATAATCTTCTTTTAGATTTTCCTTATACATGATGACCCGAAGATCATATAACACTTATAATAATAATAATAATAATGGAAAAATAAATTTCTTTCATATCAAGTAAATTACAGAGAAATCAACTTTGACTTTTAAAATCTCTGCTATTAAGATGATGCAAAATCATTCACAGATTACAGCATTTAAAGTTTTATGTTTTTTTTCTGTATAAAAACATTTAATCGTTCGTTCGAGCAATTATATTCGCTGCGCATGTAACCATATCCTTATTCATGCGTAAAAAAATGAAGAAAAAGTTTGCGTATACGGAAACAATTTTCAACATTCCACATATAGGGATTTCCTTGAGTCGCTTAATCGGATCGCATCTCGAGTGAGAGGGGAGTTTTTGCAGCTATATATGTGGATTTGAGAGACTTCTTGATCATATAGTTTTACAGTTACCTTACAGCAGTTTTACTCGTGATATGTTAAAATATTCGAATCATAAGAACGTAGAAATACTCAATCGTACAATGATAGATTTAACAGAATTATCGGTATGCTTGTTATTAATTAAAAAATAAATAAATTATTTAAATAAATAAATGTTTTATTAGTGTAAAAAACAAAATTATCATGTTTATTCATATTTTCACGAAAATCTTTATTAAATAACATATTGACAATATGATATTGCCTGTAAAAAATATTTCTCTTCATGAATTACGTTTATATTTTTAATTTATATTTTTATATTTATTGAAATGTTTTAAAAATTTGAGATCTTAAAATATTTTTCTAAAAAAAACACTTTTATAAGGAATAATATCTTTTTTTAATGCATCATAATTATTTTTAATTAAATTATTTGTTAGCCGAAGCTTATCCATGGCGGAAATTATATCAAAGAGGGCAGAGATTCAGCTAAAAGTACTTGCTTAATTTTTTCTCCTACAGAAGAAGATGAAATTGGATCGTTAGGAAGATATCTACAACTGTTCGCCGTAAGTGAATAAAGTGATATTAATTAAACTATTAGATATTGGAAGAAATGCAAATATACAGATTATTATTTTAGAAACACAAAGTGAATCTCTTGCACATCGAATCCAGAAGTTCTCTTCGACAATCAAATGGCTATGAATTTATGGTGGAATGTGCACCAGGTGGTAATATAGCCTCCGCAATTGAATCTTTGCGAGATCAATGCAGTTACTTTTCGATTATTTCTAGGTAAGTTTTTCAGATTTATTTAAATATTTTAATTATTACATATTTTTCAAAGATATTCTTATAAATGGTCAAAGATATTCGTATATTCTCATAAACAGTAACATTATTTTTTTAAATCTTTTTTTTAAAATAATAGCTATTAATTCTTCGATTGCACAGAAGATCGCTGCTATCTCAAATTCTTTTTCTATTGATAATATCTCAAAATAATATTAGAAGTCCTACATAATCCTAATGTAGATTCATCTTTTCTTTAAATATTTAAGATGTAAGTTTTAAATATTTAAGATATAAGATCTAAATATTTTTATAAGATTATTATAATGTATACCAAAAGTACGCCTACAATCCTTTTATTAATTAATTTATATTCATAATTAATTTATAATTGATTAATTTATAATTAATTTATAATTCATAAAATCTTATTTAATAAATTATGTATTAATAAATTAGATTTCTATTATTTGCATATTTAATTCAGTATTTGTGTAGATATTATTTGATAATAAAAATATATCAAATATATATCATAAATGCATTTTCAGAAATCACAAAGATAATATAGATACGGTACCATGGTTTCCGAGGAGAATACGTGATCTTGACAAATTCGCTAATCAAATTTTATCATATGGTGCTGAGCTTGATAGCGATCATCCTGGTTTCACGGATCCCGTATACAGAAAAAGAAGAAAATATTTTGCTGATATTGCTTATAATTACAAGCAGTAAGTGTGTAAAAAAAATCATGATATTAAAATAGAATAAAAAGAAATATTTTTGTATTTATAAAAATATTTATATATTATTAATCAAATGTGGATCTTATTAATGCAATATTTTAGCGGACAACCAATTCCAAGAGTGGATTATACGTCTGAAGAAATAGCTACATGGGGTGTAGTCTTTAAAAACTTGACCAAACTTTATCCGAAATATGCTTGTAGAGAGCATAATCACGTTTTCCCACTGCTCATCGAGAATTGTGGCTATCGAGAAGACAATATACCTCAACTTGAAGATATATCTAATTTCTTGAAAGGTAATATCTTGATTCTTTTTATTCGCTCTCTTTTTGAAGGCGCTTTTTTCGAGGAGCGTACCCGAACCTCTTACAACCTGCGTTCCGCCTACTGTTTGCCTCAGATAAGCTTCGGCGACGCAGCGTTTATTGGGGCCTGTGTGGATTCGAACACGCGTTACGCTTTAAACTAGCGCCAGACTATGCGTGTTTTCGCGAATCGTGATGCGTGATTCGTGATTCGTATAACATTCGCAAATAATGTGGAGGAAAAATTCGTCGATTCGTCATGCGCGATTCGTCATTCACACTGATTCGCTAATCGAGCGGTTTTTTGTCGAAACTTAAAGGAGATGAATCGTTACGAATTAATCTATTTGTGTCGCGCTACGCTATACGTAACTAGTTCGTATTTCTCTATGATAGGTTATTGCATCAATTATAATGAAGAGAGAGACAATGGAGAGCTGGACAAATAATCGCGTGCTTGAAATTGTAGAAGACATAAGACAACATAGATGTTTATGGGATCAAAAAGATAAATATCATAAAAAAAACTGGTCGAAGTAACGCGAACTAAGAAACGACGAATTACGAATTACGAATGATATATAGCGAATCGCGAATAGTGTGGAAGGTTTACATTGACGAATAACGAATCTCCCTGAATGTCCAACGAATTTCTATGAATCACGAATTACGAATCGGGAATTACGAATCGCGCATAGTCTGGCGCTAGCTTTACTCTTCAGCTGATGGCAGAGAACTAGATGTCTGTCGTAGTCGTGGACGTAAAGTAAGACAGAGAAAAACGTATGTCGTACATGGCCTTGTACGACTTACGTTTTTCTCTGTCTTACTTTACGTCCACGACTACGACAGACATCTAGTTCTCTGCCATCAGCCTTCGCCTCAGGCGAATTTCAGCGACGCAGCGTGCAGGACCATACCGGCCCCTCTTGAAAGGTAATATACAGGATGTCCGTCAATTTTCGACCTTAACCAAATAAAGAAGTAGATTGGCTCATTCGTTAAATATTTATATATATAAATATTTAAGGAATTAATCGAACAAATGCATTCCGATTCATCTTTTCGTTTGCTATATATAAATATTTAATTCACTATTCGACTGATTGCATTCCGACTCGCTTTTTTATTCGATATATATAAATATTTAATTAATTAATCGAACGATTGCATTCCGATTTATCTTTTCGTTCGATATATAAGTACTTAATCAATTAATCGAACGATTACATTCTGGTTCGCTTTTTCGTTCGGTATATATAAATATTTAACGAATTAATCGAACGATTGCATTCGGCTTGCCATTTTACTCGCTGCGTTACAGTGAATATCGCGCGAGAGAGGCAGGCAACATGCGCGGCGTCGTGCACAATTTCGACCGTCCGCGCGCAAACGAAAAACGGCCAATTTATATCTCAATTTCCGGACGCGATAGCGATTTCGTTCTTTTTGCATAAAATTCTACACCATTTCGCAGCACTACCGTTTAAATCTCGTCCCGATCGCCCGAGGAACGGCTGACTTACAGTGAATATCCGAAATCTGCTTCTTAGACTCATACTTAAGTGTAATATTTATATATATATCGAATAAAAAAGCGAGTCGGAATGAAATCAGTCGAATAGTGAATTAAATATTTATATATACCAAACGAAAAGATGAATCGGAATGCATTCGTTCGATTAATTCCTTAAATATTTATATATATAAATATTTAACGAATTTATATATATAAATATTTAACGAATTAATCGAACGAATGCATTCCGATTCATCTTTTCGTTTGGTATATATAAATATTTAATTCACTATTCGACTGATTGCGTTCCGACTCGCTTTTTTATTCGATATATATAAATATTACACTTAAGTGTGCGTCTAAGAAGCAGATTTCGGATATTCACTGTAAGTCAGCCGCTCCTCGGGCGATCGGGACGAGATTTAAACGGTAGTGCCGCGAAATGGTGTAGAATTTTATGCAAAAAGAATGAAATCGCTATCGCGTCCGGAAATCGAGATATAAATTGGCCGATTTTCGTCTGCGCGCGGACGATCGAAATCATGCACGACGCCGCGCATGTTGCCTGCCTCTCTCGCGCGATATTCACTGTAACGCGGCGAGTAAAATGGCAAGCCAAATGCAATCGTTCGATTAATATTTATCATTTTCTCGCCACTAAAAGGACGGGTCATTTTTCGGCGCAGTATTGCGATATACCGCAAACCACCATCATGTCTCGGAGAGCGACATCGCTTCGCCGCGCTCGTAGTATCGGATTACATTGGGACGACTCTCGTCGCCGCGCGCTTCTACTCACGCAGATTGGCCGATCTTCTTTATTTAATATTTCGTTATTGCGACAATCCCAAAACAATACAGGTCATTCCTTCTTAATTTGAGCCAATCTACTTCTTTATTTGGTTAAGGTCGAAAATTGACGGACCTTGTATATTCTTTATTTTATATTTTTTTAATATGGAGGACACACACAGGAAGAAAAACAGCTTTTGAGATTTATGCAGTGACATTAATGACATTTTATTAAATTCTGATTAGTTCTGAATAGTTCTAATTAGTTCTGAATAATCAGTTTTTTTCTATTTGTATCATAAGAAGAACGAGCTGCCAATTAGTCAATTTTATTGATACAATTTTATTTTATTCAAAATAATTTTCTTCAATCTTTGCATCTCGATATTTTAGACTCTACTGGTTTCACACTTCGTCCAGTGGCAGGATTATTGTCTTCACGTGATTTTCTCGCCGGATTAGCCTTCAGGGTATTTCACAGTACGCAATACATACGGCACAGTAGTAAACCTCTCTATACGCCGGAACCGGATGTATGCCACGAGATTTTAGGTCATGTACCACTTCTTGCCGATCCATCCTTTGCACAATTCTCACAAGTTATCGGTTTGGCATCCCTTGGTGCTCCAGATGATTACATAGAAAAACTTGCAACGGTAGCACAAATTATAATATTTCTATCTATATTAAAATAGCATATAAGAATTATAAATAATTCGAACTTATTGCAGTTTATTCCTTACGAGCTAATGCTATTCCAGTTGATTGCATTTATTTATTAATTTTCTATTATATTATAACATAGTTATAATAACACAACAAACATATACAGGTTGTTAAAAAAAATCGTTTATAAATAATTAGAGATGGCAAAGAAAGTTAAAGAGAACATTTTCAAATTACTAAGATTGCGAATCTTTTATTGCTCATTTTCGCTCATTTTGCATATAAGCAGTATTGTAAGTTACTGATCTCATTTTCACTTTTATGGATCTTTTTTATCAGAATCGTCGAAATGTGAATCGTCTGGTCTATGAAATCCAATAAACATAGAGAAGTTAATTGCTCATATTGCTGTAGTTGTACGAAATTTTGTTCTCATGTTTTCGAATGTACCAATCAATGATCAACTCAAATGCAAATGTTAACTCTGCAATGCATAGCAGATGGTTTCAACAACTTTTATGAAGTTATCTTTTGACTATTGACTGTCTTATTGTTAGAGCAGAAACAATCTGTGACTTTTAATGACACGATAAAAAATATTCAACTTTTCTTCCTCTAGCATCCTTAAGCGTTTGTAAACTATCTTTTTTATCCTATATAAAAACTGTTCTTATCAACTTTAATTCACGAAAAGACATAATATTATAAAAATACGAATTTTATTAATTTTATTAATTTTATTAAATTAATTTCTAGTACTAATCCAGTATTATTATATAATCGCATTAATACATCTTATTTTCGTCGGTAGAAAAATAATTATTGATAAAAAAAGTTGAGAAAGAAAGTGGAAAGAATCAAATTTTATGTTTATAAATAATTTTTACATCTTATTCTTGCAGTGTTTCTGGTTTACGGTTGAATACGGATTGTGCCGGCAAAATGGTGAATTAAAGGCGTTTGGTGCCGGTTTACTTTCGTCTTTTGGCGAATTAGAATATTGTTTAAGTGACAAACCAGAACTCCGACCTTTTGACCCGCCAAAAACTGCATTGCAAAAATATCCGATAACAGAATATCAACCCGTATATTACGTTGCCGAGAATTTCGAGGATGCAAAAGAAAAGATGACGTGAGTATGACAATAATAAAAACATGTATAGAGAGGATTATCTTATTTCTTGTTACAAGACAACATATGTTTTTATTGTGCAATGCATTTGTTGCAATTCAAAGACATAATAATTCACGTTGCGTAATAATTTGAAATGAAAGTAAATGGGATACTTAGCTGGAAAGGATAGTTTGACACATTGACATATATATCTTATCTTGATTTAATATTTATAAATATTAAATATTTTTTTTATTTTAGGAAATTTGCTGAAACTATACCGAAAAAATTCGGAGTTAGATATGACGCTTATACGCAGAGTATCAATATTATCGACAGTAAACAACAAGTCGAAGATCTCGTAAATAATGTGAATCAAGAAATTCAAATTTTGATGGATGCTTTGAGGAAATTGCACCATTAGAATTAATTTTAGTCGATGTGTATTTGCTCGCTTAATGTGCTTTACATGATGTATTCTATATAATATCATAATTTGTTTGCATCATTGAAATATTATCGTATTGATATGTTGCAAACAAATTGTGGTGTTTGTTAAAATAATATCTTCAAACAATGAAAACTGTTATTTTTTCTACATTAAAAATTTATTTAGCTTTCCGCGAAATTTTTATTATCTCATATTTTCAGGTATGAAAAAATCATTATTCTGTAATTAATGTTTATTTTTCTTAAAATAATTTTTGTAAAGTATAAAAAACTTTCTTTGCTATTTTTGAATTTCAGTATATTAAATAAACATCATATAAATATATGTATTAGAATTTTGTCTTTCCTAATTTTTATTTTCTATTAAAAGTAGCAAATTTATACTAAATTTATAATTTATTTATTATCGATTTATTAATTATCGACGAAAAAATTAGAAAAAAATTAACAATGAAGGAAAACACTAAACGTAAAATTTATGGACACATTTCAGATTTCGCAAAATTATATTTCGGTGTGTATTTTATATATATACATATATATATATATATATATATATATATACACACACATATATATATAAAACATACATATTATATAAATATATATTAAAAAAAATATATATATAAAATTTTAATATAGATTGACATAAATAATTGTTAGCAAATTGGAAACATCATATATACATACATACACACACGCATACACACACGCGCGCGCGCGCGCACACACACACATAATATAATATAAAATTATTTTTTAATTATACATATATATATATATATATATATGTATATTTCTCAAATATTTTCCGATTACATATAATATAAAATTATCAATTATTGTTTCCAGTCAGTTAATAACTTATGCCAATCTATATCAGTTTTGTATTACATATTTTACGTAGTTATTTGAAGAACATTATCACATCAATTTGAACGCTTTTCACGACAGTGATTTTCTACGATTTCGTTGGAAAGTTTTTTGCCTTACTTTCATATATTTTTTCATCGAGCAACAATTATGAAATGTTATAACGATCTAACATACATTTATAATTAAAATACATTAGATATGAAAGTGATAATATTATACATATACATATACAACAAAATATATATTACTCTTTTTTATCATCATATACACATAAAAAATCTGAATATACCCTGTTTCGGAAAATGTGGAGTTTGGTCCCTTTTCTGATGTCATGTTATGACGTCATTTTTCGGACAAATAAATTCAATAAATGTATATACTAATTTAATGTGTTTTTGATCAAAGCTCTTTGATTTGTCATGATGAATTTTTTACGCTTTATCGAAATAATTAAACCATTCTTAAGAGATTATCAAAATTAATTTTATACAATATAGCGCAATAACTTTTAAATGTTTAGAATATTTCTCTTTACATTACATAGATATAAATATTTTCTTTATGGCAGATAAATGCGATTTTTAAAGATCGTCAACTGTACAAAGAGAATTGGCACGATTATAGATTTGAAAAATTACCAGAATAAATTTTATAATAAATAAAATTTTACAATAAATAAAAGTAATAATTAATAAAAAATTATTATCTCGTTCATTGTAAATTCTTTTTGTTGTCTGTTTTCTCATAAATTTTGATTTTACGCATACATACACATATAGAGTGACACATACAGCGTTCGTTTACACCGTGATGTAGTTCTATAATTAAAAGTTATCGAGTAATCCTTCATAAATATGAAAATGTTTTATGACTAAAATTCCATTGATTGAAAAAAATATATAAATATGATTATATAAAACGATAAGTACAACAATCAGAGAGCGATAAGTAGTCTCGTGTTCCATTAATTTACATTTGATGCAATATTTTATATGTCTGTTGTACATAAATACATCGATGTATTAAAAATTGCACATTACGTTAAAACGTCAAAGTTATATTACAGTATATTATATTACAGTTTATTATATTACACAATATCTGTGCATGCAATATATCACAAACACAGTTATCATAATATTTTTTGAAAATATTTTTATACACTCTTTATACACACACACACACACACACACACACACACACACACACACATGCGTACAGACATACACGCATACACATTTTTTCGAAAATGCATTTTTTCTATAGATAGAAAAACAATTGCAACTATAAAATAGCAATAGATATAATTTGGTATATCTATTGTTATTTTTATTGAGTTATTATATTGAGATTTCCTCACTTGCAGAAGAGTTAAAGGAATTTAAGATAATTATCTCAGTTCTCAAGAATATTAATTAAATTCTTGCCTATTACGATGGATACAATGGGAGTCATAGAAAGTCTTTTTAATTTTGCGATAATCTCTATTGCTGATTCGAGGACGCGTCTATGTTAGCGTAGATCATTTCGGCTTGTTGCGGACAGATTTGAAAAGACACGAGATCGGGATTACTTTCCTGTTGCGGCGGTACTTGTTGCTGCTGTTGATGTTGTAATTGCGAATGTTGTTGTTGTTGTTGAGTTTGAATTATAGCACCTACGTTGCCATGCGTCGAGTTCGGCGATGGACTGACTTGCAAGGATTGCGAAAATAATTCCGTAGGTACTATAGGCACTGGCACGGTGATCGGTATGGGAAGTACATTAACACTTTGTACGTTACTGGAGGTGGGCAACTGAACGTTAGTATTGTTGGTATTGCATCGATTCGCTTGTTGACACGGATTCGATGGATTGTATGATATACTCGCCTGAAATCCAAATATTGATCAATGATCTTTAGTGTTTTTCTATAAGCAAACAGAATCTGATAGTATTTAAGCATTTAATTCTAATTTACAATATTTTGATATTTGTAACGTAAATATATATTTAAAAACAATTATGTAAAAATATCACAAAATTTATCATTCAAAAAATATACGAACGTTTAATAGTGGCGTGAGAATCCCGTATCGAGCTATAAATAATTGTTCTGAAACTCTTCTTAATTCTTCCTGCTGATGAACAATTAACTGTTGTAACTCTTCATGCTTCCTTTGTAATTCGTCTTGTATTTGATTTTGCGCAGGAGTCATCACTATGCTTTGTTGATGTAACATCTGAAATATATTAAGGATAGAGAAACAAATAGATTATTAGAATCACAAAAAAATGGATAATAAAAATGTTGTTATTAAATTATTTGCACATACAAGTACGTAAAATATTACGAATATAAGTCGAATGTAACATTAGATTTACTCATGGAATATTATTAAAATTAAGCAGATGTTAAAAAATGTGTATAGAAAACATCTTTCCGTTTAGAAAAATAGAAAATTAAAAATAATATTAACAAGGATGTGCGCAAAAGTATTTCAAAAAAATGCAATTATAATAAACACTTATATATTTTATATACATAACAAGCAATATGTATTAATATATATTAACATGCATTAATATCGAATTTAATTTTTAATATTTAACTTTTTACCTCGTGAGTGGGTACAGTTGAAAGTATAGGGGCAGCAGGCGTTGCGAATCCCGTAGTGACTGATTGCAGATTAACAGTCGCATATTGTGCAGGATCCATAAAATTAGTGCATGACTGATTGATATCCAGCTGATGTTGCGATTGCTGCTGCTGCGACTGCTGTTGCGTTTGTTGTTGTTGTTGCCTGCTGTCCATCGACGCAATCGGCTTTGACACTATAGAACTGCTTGCAGAAGCCGCGTTCGAGTGTGATCCATGCGTTATTTGTGAATATGGAGAACTTCGTAAGGAGACTGATATGGAAGATGTATTGGAATCACCGCAATGTTGGAGATTGGAAGCGATTGTCATTGACTTTAATGTTTTCGATGATTTGTTTGACCATTGCGTCAACGGTGTTTGACAAGATGTTGTGCCCTACGCATATGTGTAAGAATGTCATCATATAAATCATGTCTCAGACCTGAATTATAATATCGATAAATCGATTTACATTATACAATATTTTAAGTTAAATTATAATAATATTTTAAATTATATATATATATATATATATATATATATATATAATAAGTTTATATAAATTTACATAAATATATAATAAAGTTTTCCTTTTTTCTGTAAAAAAATGTTTTAATATTTTATTATATGTTTTTAATATTTTATTATTTTATTATTATTATTGCATATTAAATGACGTTTTTACTATATTTGATTTTGTTTGTCAAAAAATTTATGCAAGAAAAAATCTGCGCGTAAAAATGTTTAATAATTCTGTTTTTCAGTTTCATATTATATGTTTTAAATAAGTTTTAATCATTATTATCATATCTTTACTGTATTATTTAACCCCGTCTTTATATTAGTAAAACATGCAATAAGAATAATTATAATATAGCATAAAATAGAGTTAAAAAAACAAAAAGCAATAAATAAAAATGTATAAAAAATTGTTCGTCAATAATATATCTATTAAATATCTTTTCTACATAAATTTTTTATAGTTTATAAATATCAAATTTATGTGATGTAGAAAATTATTATTTTAATAGTTGACAACAAAAATTTCTTTAAATGTTTTAGTTTCTCACAATTTTTATACATACGTATTACCTTCATATAATTAATATTGCAATAATTATGAAATTCTTCGATCGCGAATTTTATCACATTTATAATCTTACTTGTTTTACGGGTATTAAAACATCTTGATTTTCCGTTTTATCGTAACCCCCCGATTCCGCGCGCAATTCCTTCATTACGTCGACATAACTGACCACGTAATGCGTGCACACGATAAATTCAGGTTTCGAGTTCCACTGATTGTACGTAATGTAAAATCTAGTTTGCAGCCAAATCCATTGCTGACCCTTGGTGAGGAATCTATAGTAGCAAGATGTTCCCTCGCCTTTCTGCATCACTAAAGATCAATAAAGCAATTAATTATCTGCGCTGCATGTGCTTTCGTTTTTTTTTCATTACTTACATGATTCATGGCACGTAACGACATTGTCTAAATCGTCCACATGATAATAATCATATCCGGAAGTGCCTAAAACTTCAAAAGGCAAGTATCCGATGATGGGTGGTGCTCTATGATCTAAAAAGAGAAATTTCCATTCCAGACTATGGCGGGATGTGAATTCTGACTTGGTGTTATCGGTCACGGATAATTCTCGGATAAGTTGAGGAGTCTGAAGACGTCCTGTACCCACGAATACTAATCTGCAAAAATAAACATAAGTTCACATTCCAGTGTGATTTTATTTATATATATTTTCTATTCATGGCATATATAAAGATTAATACTTGTTGTCTGATGCATTGGTGTTACTAAATTTTTGACCTGGAAGTAAGTTGTCGACATCGTCATCCATAGCAGATCCTATAATATACGAAAAATTACTTGATCTTAAAAATAAAATTTTATTTTATTTTAGAATATATTATTTTATTTTAGAAAAACTTTGATTTTTTTTAAAATATACAATTTGCAAACTATGCTATAGAGATTTAAAATTGTTTACTCACGGAAATATCCAATAAATTGTACAAGTTCGTAAACGGAATCTTCTCGAAAATGGAATCCGCCCCTTTTGATGTGACACGTGAAAGATATTTGGTCTTCTGTCGCAATACAAAAGATTGTATATAATAAAAATTGTGTAAATCTCCTGGCTCCTCTCCATTACTTGTGAACAGTACCTTTTTTCACAGCGCGTTTATCTCGCGTGTTAGCAGGATTTAACAAGACATTATATAAATGTGGCTGATCTTCTTGATATGTTATATTATAAATAGTCGTGTTCTCTAATTCGTTCGGAAGATATCCAAGCAAAGATGTAATGCTTTCAGAGACATAATAAATACGTCCATTCGAGGAAAAAACTATTATAAATCCGTCCAATGCCTACATTTGTATAAAAGTTTATATTTTATATAATGGTAAATATATCTACACATATTAAGATTTACTATAAATTTATGGTTTATTATAGACACAATTTTACCTCCAAGATAAGATGAGTGAATTCCTCATTGGAGAGAAAAGACGGTTTCCAATTTTCTTGGATCTCATGAACTCTCGATCTAACAGCTATCTCTGAAATAATCAATTACTATGTATAATTTAATTTCTAATATAGTCAATTAGTTTACATAATTTATTTTGGAATAAAAAATACATGTCTATAAAATGTTATGAAGATCTTATGCTTACCATTGTGATTCTTTAAAAATAGAATTGTTGATTTTAGCACTGTAGATTTGTCCATTTTCCGTGTATTGGCACTAATCATGCTACCAAGTTCGTTCACAAGCATATTAAATTGATCTCTACGTTTCTTTTCACTGAGATTACGCGATTTTCTAAAAGGCAAATGTTTATTTATTGGAATAAATAATAATAGATGATTATATCAGAATTTTAGTGTGCCTTTACCGCTTCGTGTCGTCTTTATCGTCTATATCATCATCCATGGTGGAGATAAAACGTGTACTTTAATTTAAAATGGCAAAACTTCTTTAAAATGGCAAATGTACACTTCTTGATATTATTGTTTCTGCAAAGAAAAAATTACATTCATATTGAAATATATTTATGCTAATTTTACACATCGTGCAATGAATCTAAACTCAGTTTCTATTTAAAATAACGCGTATAATTCTAGAAAGCAAGAGGTATATTAAAAAATTATTCTAATTTTTATATCCTGATACTGATTTATTATCAATTCTCTATAAACTCTATACATATAATAGAATAAAAAACTTGATAGAATAAATTTAAAAGTCATTTAGAAATTGCAAATAAAATGTTGATATTGATTAAAAAATTTAAAAGCGTCATGAGAAATTAGTACAAAAAAAGATAATAATTATATTACGCAATTATAATATGAATTATTGAGAGAAATTTAATATATTGATATTGAAATAATAATTTGCGTAACATAATGATGATTTTTATTCTGTTACAAGAAAAATCGATTAATCGAATGAATCAGTGCAATCTTCGACCAGCATAACAAAGTTAAATGGAAACAGTCGCGTGCTACGAACGTGATCAGACGAAGCCGGTCAACTGTCGATATATATTTATCACATTTGTCATAGATTCAAATTGTATTATATTTAATTGCACTTGTAACACAATTTAAACGAATATTTTACAAATATAATTCTTTCTTTGACAATTGAAAGAGATTAAATAATTGAACAATAATGAGAGATTAATTTAGCTAATAATTCAAATTAAATTATTTTAGATTATTTTATTTTATATAGCAATTGTATATAAAACATCCGTATATAAAGTTTTATTTATTATTCGCAATATTATAAATGCGAATTTAAAAGTATACATTTTTATCATATATTTACTATGTTAATTGACGCAATACCTGTTTTGCAACTCGCGAATGTTAATGTCCCTGAGGTTAATGTTTTTTAAATTCTTTTGCGCATTTAAATAAACAGAATCTTCTATAGAACAACTTTCAACTACCGATTCACAATACACTAAGATAGATAATTGCGACAGTCACGTGACCTATTACAGTTTCTTTTTGTGGGAAAAATGTTTAATAAAACTTTTGCGCACACAGGTGAAATATTTTGATCGAGAAATCGTCAAGGATCGATCTAGTTTATAATGATAAATTCACAAGAGAAGCAACATTTTCTACGATCACGAAGTGATTTTAACGCTGAAATCTCACTCGGATTGTTCAGAACGATGATCGGTGAACCAGCAAACTCAAATTTCGTTGCATCAACCGCAAGAGATCGTATTTACCCGCAAATATCCGCATCGGCAAAGGTCCAACTGTTCACTCCAATTGACAGAAGGAATGCTCACGTAAACAATCGCGTTTGCCGTGCACTAATTTTACTCGCACGCGAGTTCTTAGGTCGAGTGAATGCGTCGAGCAGGAAACCTGTGTCTTTCGTTGATCATTTCTCAACAACGTCACATTCACTCGCGCACGATGATGTCCTCGTCGATAGCACCGTGACATTTTTCACGTACGAGACACTCATTGCGATCCATCCGCTCCGATTTTCTATGACGCCTCGGAGTCAATCACGCGATCACGATTGCGAGATGCCGCCATGGACTGCTGCCGATTGTAGCGCTTTGCATCCAGGTTCATTAGCCGTGTTGCCGAGCCTAATCGATCGCGAACGCGAGTCGCGAGTTTTTACGCGCGATTCCGCGCGACGATTGCGAAAATCCGTGCGGAATACAGAGAGTAGGCCAAGTAGAAACAGACGAGTCAGAATTGCCAACTGTCTTGTAGTGAAAATCCCCTTCGCTCAACTGCGCGTCTATGGAAATACGTTTGTGATGAGATCTCGTTCTTCAGCTGCAGTTTGTATGAATTACTAATGTATATATGCATCGAACTCGCTGACTTCAAAGTGACATAACGTTTTTTTTATTATTTCTTTAATTTCGCTTGTAAGTGGAGCATCAGAGTAACTTTACAGAGAATTGATATTAGAATGGATGGGAATGTATCAGTCTTGATCAAAAATTTATTTTTTAGAAGAATCGAGTAAAATTCTGCTTCCAAAAAGATAATTAATTCTGGAAAAGGTTGAATTTTTTAAATTATTCATTTATTCACAAAGTTAATTATGCATTAATGAAAGATAACACGTGATATTCTCCAAAATTGCCGCAATACAACAGATGATAAAATAAACTAATTAAATAGTAAAATAAATTAAAGTTTCTCAAAAACTTGTCAAGTTTTCGAAAGAACTTGCACAGAAACAACATATATAATTATTTGCTGGTATGTTATCTCGTTTATTTATTTCGAAAGAAGATTCATACTCGATAAAAATTAGAGATAATCTTGTAATTTTCGCTCTTATCGTGCAATCATATTTATTAGAGAAAAAAGAGAATATCTTGCTTATATTGTTCATACTGGATCGTATCATTACCGGCCAACCTCACGATGGATTTTCATGTAACGAAAATGAGCTAGAGAGCTATTTTCCGATAATGCGCAATCGCGGCTTTATCGCTCGCTGCCCTCATACATTTGCACAGACTCTGCGGTGAATGAGCGCAATATACAGAGTGTACCGAAATTTAAATGTCAAAACTTCGAGAATGTAAGATCGATATAAGAAAAAAAATCCTTTAGAGATTTGCTCGTTTTGAAGAAAATTGCGAAAAACAACAAAATAAAAATTTTTTTCACTTATTAATTGCTTATTTATTTATATTGTCATTTCTTTAGTGAGGGTATTATTTAAAATGTATAAAAATGTATAAAGATATAAACACGAACAAAACAAGATGCAATAATCTCGCATTGTCGCGTATTTATTTATAATTTTAATTTTATTTCAGAAGGATTTTAATTCGCTCTCTTTTTTAATTGCATGCTTTATAATTTTTATCTTATGATATTTACCTAATAATAATTTTAATATTTGTTTTAAATTTTTGATAAATTTTTTTGTTTTTTTTGCGATTTTTTTTAACTTGCTCCCATTTAAATTCAAGACACCCTATAGATTACCTGGCGGCGTACATTCAAGTATACAGTGATTGGCCGATACGCGGTACATTTCAAACACCGGCCTGCAAGATATCAGCAGCAATAACTAACTAAGCATTTGCCAAAGTAATTTGCACCTCGTATGATATCTGATATCTCTTGCACGTGAAATATCATCCCAGCAAATACGTTTAAATTCTTCGATATTTGCAATCTGAATTCTGAATCCAGAACCTTGTTTCGCAGAAAGAAATACTCATCGATCGTAGTACAATTTTTCACTGCCACAAACAAGGCGTTTTTTATTAGGACAGAAAAGAGAAAACCAGATATGCAAATATCTCATACACATGTACAGATATATTTATTGACTAATTAAAAATTTTCCTTCTCTGATAAAAAAATTTAATGCACATTAGTGTATCATTCTTTAAAAAAATTTTTCTTTTAAATTATATTATACTTGAATTAATATTATTAAAGGTTGAATTGTTTGTATCTTGGAAATACCGTCGTTTTTCTTCATTATCACTAATTAGGAAGTATGTGAACAAGAGACATTTTGCGATGAATACCTATTAGGTCAAATAAAACACAGATGGTTCAATAAATTTTACATAATATTTATTATTTATAGTGTACTCAGAAATGTCGGGCCTCAACCAGTGGGCCTTCTTCTTTTGACATATTTGATCAATGAACATCACAATGTTAATTTTCCTCTAGTCCGTAAAATTACTTCTCTTCTCTATTAAGAGCGATGCGCAATCTGCTCATGTCGTTATGATGGAACACACGTACAAGCCATTACGACGGCCTATCTCTGCATTGTATGAAATACTCGAGATTCTCTCGTTCGTTGCGCTGAACAGGCCGTAAAACCGCGAGGTCAAATTCGCTCCGGGGAACGACAGACAAAGTAGGTTGTCACGAGCGGTAGTTAATGCAGTGGTCACGTAAAAAGTAGCTCGTGGAACTCAAACGACGTAACGAGCGGATTGTGCGTCGCAAAAAATAGATATGTCCAGCTTCGCGACTCTTGGTTCTCACTCACAATTCAACATGCCAGCATATTCGTACAACAAAACATCGAATAACAACTGCATATAAAAACAAAACGAAAGGAAGAGGTCTATCTCAGTCGCAACTCGTCGTAAGTTTTGAATTTCGATCGGCGCGCGTATTCTCGACAACCAATAATGATCCGATAACTATATTAAAACGCAACACGTGTTGTATTAATAAAACATTTTCCTTCTTTACGTATTGGATAATCGTCGCCAAATTTATACAGTCCGTTTTTTTTTCGCCATCGGAAAACAGTTTCGCTTTATGTTGTCCATTTCGGGCCGACATTCGAGGAGTTCCCACAAATGATGGGTTTTTAAAGTAGGAGATGAAGGAAGAGAGGAGGGCGGGAGAGGGAACGGGGAAGTGGATTTTGAGACTTTCCTTTTTTTTCTCTTTTTATCTCGTATTACAGCAACCAACCACATTCCCACTGTACACGCCTCTTTCTCTGCTCAATTCTTCGTCCTTTCGCGGACAATGCAAAATTAAAATACGCACGCATCGCGTCGGGGAATGAAACGCCCTGAGAGATCGGACAAGGATTCGCATTCCGACGTCGGTTCATCTCTCGATTACATTTTGTCGAATTATCTCGTCCGCGTCGTTTCCATCCCCGACGCGACAAATTGAAAATTCTCCGCGGACCAGTCGTTAAAAATTCAAGATTATCAAACTGCAACAATATCTTTCTTCTATTATTTTCTTCTGTTACATTATAGTAATACTCACAATTTTATTACTTACGGTATAGGAACAACTGACACCAATATGATTTCGAGTAATTGCCAAATAAATATTAAAGAAATATATATTTAAAAAATATATATATTTATCAAATATATTATTCCTAATAAAATTATTTATAATAAAAAATATTTTATAAAATTCATATCTATTAAAATATATATTCTTTTCTATCTGCTTTCAATCAGATGATACAATTTCGCATATTCACTGCAATTCTTCATTGTCAAATGGAAAAATCAATGTAATGCATCTTCACTTTATGTAGCATTAGATTTGTTAAAGAAAAAATGTCAACTGTTCCCTTAAATATAAAATGGAGCTTTATTAACTACATTAGAAACGAATCGCAGAAATTGCAATTTCGGAGTAAGTGTGGCGATTGATTTTGTTATTTACGTTGTCTGCGTGTCGCTTGCTTTCAAAATTGTACAAAGTTGAACACCATAGCTACAGCTTCGAAATCGAATCTCAATCGACTGGTCAGCGGGTGCTTGCTAATAAATGACGCGGAGGAGGCGGCAGTGGCGCGAGGGGTACATTTAAGTTCTCATTATATAGGAATCGAGGGGACCCCCAATATTCGAAAAACTTGGTAAAAATATCAGTATTATGTATATATATATATATATATATATATATATTTATATTTATATATGTGTGTATATATATATACCTCGCGCCGCTCTTGCACGCCCGCCCGCTCTTTTCCTGGCCTACCTTAATTAATTCTCTTAAACCTCCAAAAACACACCTCGTTCAACTTAGCGCTATACGAAATGATCGTTACGATACGATAATATATATATAATATATATATAATATATATATTATATTCTACATTTTACATTACTATGTTCGAAAAATAATATTACAATATATAGTGTATATGTGTGTGTTATTACGTGTATTATCAGTATTTTTTTTGTGTTTCTTTCTTTTTATTCCTCCTCTCCTTTACGATAGTTTTCGCATTCTCACTTTATCGCTTTTTTCCTTATTATACGCGCGATAATACCTAGAATTTACAATTAGTTATACATGACAATCTCGACGCTGCTGAGAGAAGATCGGTGACGGTACGTGGATCAATCTGCATTGCTGGATTCGTTATAAAAAATTATGTGTCGTAATGAGTAAAATGTATGTGTGCGTGCGTGCGTGCGTGTATGTGTGTATGTGTGTGTGTGTGTATGTGTGTGACTCTGGCTATATAAAATTGTCGAGTAATGCTAAACAATGTTAAGCTAATAGGTCGATTAATGCCTTTTCAAAGAAACGTTTTGTTCTGTTCTCCACGGTTTCCTCGCTCAACAAATGCCGATAAATTGAAGGTGTCTCGTTAAAGCGATAACTACTACTTCAAGAGATTTTCTATTTCTTTAGTTCAATACGTGCGTGCGCGCGAGAAATCTTAAAGTTAAAAAAATAGAAAATGGAGAACACTGTCAAGAAATCTTGAAATATTTATATTAAATAGGCATATTTATTTCTTAGAGATTTTACACTCAGATTTGTTTTTTCAACTATATAAGACATCATAATGATAAAGATTGACGTGTATGTAAATATCGCTATTAAAAAGTCGCCTTCAATTTTCAAGTCATTTCCGTCTCACGTACACACATCAACTATTCTTAAATATTCTTCTCAAATCGCAAAGATCACAAAAACTGACTTTGAAGAAGGCAGTTTTCCCTCTTATAATCTAAAAACCACGGAATGCCCTATGAGATTTATTTTCAACGTTATACGCGAAATCAGATTGCTCTCAGCAGCGCGCGCAATTATACTACCAAATCCTTTCAATGTATGTGTGTGCATGTCTGTGTGTCTGTGTGTGTGTTTGGTGATGTAAAACCGCTAGGCGTTTCTCTTCTCTCTCTTTCTCTCTCTCCTTCTCTTTCTTCTTTTTTTTAATTTGAATAACA